CACATCAGTTTTGAGCAAAATGATACAAATTATTTGCATCACCAAAAACTAAGTCATTTATTTAAGTGATGTAAAATGTTTTTACATCATTTATAACTAATACAAATATAGAAAATAAATGATTCAAATTAACCTTTTTTTTGTAGTGGGTAGATTCTGAAGAAAATATTAAACTAGCTAATAACTGAAATACAATGTAGTATTGGAATTTATGAAGTTAATTTTCAGTACATCGATGTATCCTTGCTAATTTTATATTCGAAGTTATTATTCTTACTTGTCTGACAAATTAATTAACTAGCGGTTAAGTTAAACGACGCAAAATAATGAACAATATTTACTTGGATATCAAATGGATACATATATATATTCAGGGGTGGGCACGGATCGAATATTCGGGTTTTCGAAGGTATTTGTGATTTGCTTCGTTTGTTACGGATATCTGATTTTGGTATTTGCTTTGCTTCGGAAAAATACGGATATCCGGAAAAACGGATATCCGGAAAATAAACAGATATTTGCGGATATTTACGAATACTTACGAATATCTCATCCGTTACAAATAATCTTATATAAATTTATTTTGTAAAATTTTTTTACATGATATATAAAATAGAAAAATAAAGAAGTAGTGAATTTACATATTTTATAATTTTTTATGTTTAAGTTAACAACTATAATAACACAAAACTTAATATTTTTTTTATAATTTTCATAATTTTCTCTTCTTTTTCTCTAATAATTTTATATAAGTAATAATGTGAATGTAATTAGACAAATCATAACCTATAATAATAGTTTTATACATTTAAAATTTTAAATATAATCAAAATATACATATATTTATATATTTCCGGATCGGATCGGATATCCGCTTCTCAAAATTTTAATATTTGTGATTTGCTTCGATTTTTACGAATATTGATTTTTAGTATTTGCTTCGATTCGAAAGTTTACGGATATCCGGAATTTTCGGATTGAATCGAGACGAATAACGAATCGAATCAAATTTAACGAATAAAATGCCCAGCCCTATATATATTTATGTGGATTGATGATTGCATAAGAAATTAACAAAGGTTTGACGAAAAGCTCTTCTATTTCTTTTTTAGCATTCACTATGGTAGACTAAATTATTGAGGGTACATTTTTGGAATTCATGATGTGGATGAATCTTGTAGAAGATATGCCTAATAATACCAAATTTTCATTTTGTCCCAAAGAAAAATACCAAAATTTCATTCATTTCCTTGTCTCGTGAGCTTTTTTCTTTTTCTAGCTAAAAACCATTCTTCTTTCCTTGGCATTTTCTCTCCTGATTTCTCAATAAATATACTACGCCTAATAATATAAAAGTAGCCCCATAATATTTGTTTACTTAAATTACCCAAAATACAATGAGTTTATATAACCAAATGTTCTACTATTTTGTTTTGTTTTGGTTTGGACAGCATAACTATAGGTAACTTTATGTAACATTAAAGTATCACATAGACGTTGGGCGTGACTCGAGATGAATTATAACAGCGTGTTTTAATGTTACAACTATTAAAATCCAGGTTACAAAAGAACAAAACTATTTATTTCCTTTCCTTATGAAAATTTCTCGTCTTTTTATTATCTTTTTAGAAAACAAAGAAAACACACGTTAAAAGGGGAAAATCTTAGAAAGAAAGAGACAAAGGGGTTAAATTAAGAGATCAAATGTTTTTAAAGCTTAGAAATAGACTCACGCTTGAAATTTGGGAAAGATTAAAAATGTAGCAGTCGCCTAAAGGAGAGTTAAAAGACATGATGCCAGCTTGATTAAATTAGCATCTATACTATTAAAAGAGAAGGAGTCTAAATAAATCTACTTAAAAAAGTTGTTTGGACCCTTTCATTAGATTAACATTTTTTTATCTTTCCTTATATTTCTCTAACAATATTATACAATAACATTATATCATATAACTTACCTTATATTTCTCTAACAATAAATTAGTCAATATTCTTATTTATTATACATTACTTTTATCGGTCAATATTTTTATTTCTCCACAATACATTATTATAACCTTATACCATATAATTTCATAATACGTGACTGATTT